AGGATGCGGTTTTACTGCGTTTAACTAAAAATCTGATGCGCGCTCTATGGCGTTTTAATTGTATGAAATCGTTTGTGTTGTGTGTATTTTGATATTTTTTTGGGATTTGTTTTTATTTATAATAGATATTTTAATTCTATCGTTCCACCATGGGGCCCTGGGTTTTTTAATTTTGTTGTTGGCTATTCCTATGGACATTTTTGCAGTTTTAKWGATGAGATTTGAGAATTGGTAAACATCATCATCGATGTTATCTTTGGATGGGGGTTTGAGTGTTAATATATTGTTTTCAATTAGACAGTTGAAGAGGTTCCAATTGGCATCTTTAATTTTCCACCTCGGGGGATAGTACAAGTCGTTTTTGTTTGACGGGTCGGTGAAGGTTATTTGRATGGGAATGTGGTCGCTGCTGTAGATATCTGGTAGAACTTTCCATTCGAGTTTGTGTGCAAGAGCAGTATTAGAGATAGAAAGGTCGATAGCGGAAAATTGCCCATTTGAGGGATTTATTCTGGTGGGTTGACCGGTATTTAGTAGTACTAGATTGTCTTGCATGAGGAGCTCTTCAATTATTTTACCTCTTGGATCAGTTTTGTAAGATCCCCAGTTAAGGCTGYGACTGTTAAAATCACCTACTATTATGAAAKACTRTGGGAGTTGATTGGTGATGTTTTCTATGTCGGTGAGTGTGAAATATTTTYGATTAGGTAAATATAGGTTACATATGGTTATTTTATTATGAGGCAGGGTTATTGATACCGCAATAACTTCTAGATCGGTGGTTATTTGTATTTCTTCGCTGGGATATTCTTGGCTGACAAAGATGGCTACGCCACCACTAGCTCGGTCACATAAATTGCGGTTTTTTTTATAAATATTGTATTGGGATAACGAAGGTTTGTTGCTGTCTGTGAAGTWTGTCTCTTGTAGACATATTATGGTCGGGGTATAATCTTTAGTAAGCAGTTGGAGTTCTTCAAGTTTTGAATAGAACCCATTCAAATTCCATTGAATAATATTTATCATAGGTTTGGAGTGCAACTTTGATAAGTTTGTGTAATATATATTATTGGTAAAGTTTTATGTGGAGTTTTAGATTGATTGAGCTGGTTGGGCTTGGAAAAGGAGATTAGACAGTTTAGTTAGTCGGCTTTTTAATGTTCGATCGGTGACCAGAGGTCTGAT